ACAGTTATCGAGCTGATTATCACATTCCACAATTTAAGAAACTTCTTTGAAGGCAGTTGAACAATGAGAAGTAATGACATCAGTTAGAGATGACAGTTTCATGACAAAATTAGGCATCATGAAGAAAATGGGTAGCAGTTTTCAAGCGGTTTGTCACGCAGAAGTCGTCATGGGAGTATAAAAGGAAAGAATAGACAGAGGAAAAAATCCCGAATCAAACACTCTCAAATAGAGAATATGTAATTTCAATATTTTAGATTAACTTTAATTATCCTTCTTTCAGTACTCGTGTGCTTGCGCCCCTTAGAGGCATTCTGTTTAGTTCCAATTGTAACTCTCATCAATAAAGCACCCATTTTTGAGACTTTGTCTCAAGAGGTTTGACTCTTACACAATCGTCTGAATTTCTTTTTTAATTGTTAGCGACAACCCGCGCGAAACACAAACATTTTCGTTTGTTACAAATATGTGATGGACTCATTATATCTAACTATTCTAGTCTTCAGCCTATTAAGTTGCTGCTTTTAAGCCACTGTAGAAATCATTAAATTTGTCAGTAGCACTTCTTGGATTCAATCCTACTGAATTATTTTTTTCTTTTACAGAGAAAAGCAAAAGCAAGAAAAAGAATCAAGCAATGGAGAAGTGCTGTCATGCAGCTAGTGAAGACATTGAAAAACCTCTTTCGTATCTTACGAACACAGTTGAAGGACACACATAATCGACACAAATCCATGCCCAAACCACTTTAGATTATTGCGAAAAGTAAGTAAATCGTGTGTAGATAAATTATAATTTAGTCAATAAACAACAATATGGATAGCATAATTTAAGATCAACTAAAATATAAATCAAAACAAGAAAAGAGAGTTAAAAAGTCACATCAAGGACATTATTCAGTCGTGTGGCTTGTTCACGAAAATATGTCTGCTTTGTAAATCACCGCAAGTGTACGATTCGTTAACAAGGAATAACGTGAAAATTATAAAATTTCGAGTATCGTCCCATGATGATTGCTTTAATTTGATTTCTACTACTGAGACCTTAACCGAATTTATTTAACTCAAGATAGTTGAAGATTTTAATCTTAAAAAGCTAAATTGCCAATCATATATTAAGCCCTTGTTTGGTTATAAGTTGTCAAATAACTTTTCATTCACATGTTTCGTGTGACTCATAAATATTTTGTGAAAAACTAAAAATTATAAAAAGAACAAAAAAATCAATGTTAGATCATATTTAAGCCAATTATTTGGTGTTAATAGATTTTGGAATATTGATTTTTTGGAGAATGTGTTGGAGAAAAGTTTTAAATTTATATACAGAATATTTTATTATGCAAATGCGTAATTTAAAATGAATTTTGAAAAAAATGAGGATGAAACAAGGGCTTGAATCATTGCTTAAATTTGGTTACTTTCAATTTGAATGACTCAACATTTATATTTAAAAATGATCATTCAACTCTGTATTTTTACGTTTTGATTTGATCATTTCGATTATCGCCATTAATTACATTAAAATTAGTGGTTCAAATAATTGACCAATCTGAAATAAAACGTAAAGTTTCATGACGTTTTTGAAACAAATTAATTACGAGGGACTAAATTAAAACAATTCCAAAATTGGGTGACCTTTAGAGAGAGCTCTTTCGCCCCCAAAATAATCAAGAAACGTCAAAGGAAAATGATTTCTTATGTACCCACAAATCTGCTATGGATCGATCCTCAAAACTCTTCTCGCCGTTTACGCCAATGGAGAAAAAGACAGATTTTTATTACTGAAAACACAATTTGCTCATGAATTACGTTACAAATTTAGCCCTTATTTAATAATTCCCAAATAAATTATTGTTAACCTCTCACGCTGACCTTCCGCCTGTCACTGTATATCCCTCTTTTTTTTTCCCAGTAATTTATGCATTGTTTGTATGTATGTCTATAGATATAGACGTGTAATGTTGTATATAATTTCTCTCATTTAACAGAAGTCTTTTGTCTCGATTTTTTCTTGCTGGGTTTTATTGATACCTTAATTTTGATAGATTTTGGAGGGTGGGTTTTTTAATTGAATGCAAAAAAGTTATGGAGACATCAAATGGTGCGAATTCTGATAATTCCAATGTAGCTTCACTACCTTCATCATCAAGCAATGGAGGAAATTCCAGGATACAGTTCCCTTTCCTCCGGTTCATCCGCTCCCCTATCTCAACCCTACTTGAACACACCGGTGTCCTTCGGGTCCGACCCGATCATCCCTACTCCGAAGCCCACCCCCTTATACCCGAAAACACCAATTCTAATGCCCAAATTCTCAACAATTTAAACTCAATTAACAGCAATGATATTAGTAATAGTAGTAATAATAATGGGGAGGTATCGATTCGGATTATTGGGGCAGGGGAGCAGGATGGGGATAGGGTTGTTGAAAGTGATGGTGAGAATGATCAACCGGTTTCAGGATTGGGATTGGGCACGGAGGAATCTGTAGAGGTGACCAATGGTTTTAATGGGAATGGGACTAGCGGTAGTAGTAATGAGACCAATGGGGAATCTTCAGCGTATCAGAGATATGATATACAGCAGGTGGCAAGGTGGATTGAGCAGATTCTTCCCTTCTCTTTGCTTCTATTGGTGGTTTTCATCCGACAGCACTTGCAAGGTGAATGTTCTGAATTTTGAGGCTTGATATTAGATATGTGAATGTGTTTGATGCTATAATATTTTGTTATTCTTGTTTTGTGATAAATTTGATTTTTATTATTCAATTATCTAGTGCCAAGGATGATAAGTAGAAGTATATTATGATCATTTAACTATGCTTGTAGAGAAAATGCAGCACCTTTTATCTTTTCTCTCACGTGTCAATTACTTTGACTTTATTGTCACTGGTGATTTGCATTTTGATCTTGCTGCATTGGCTAAAACACACTATTTCCTTCATAAGATCTCATTATTGTTCAATTGTCTAAAAATTTTGTTGACTTCATTGGTTTGAAATTATTCTGAGCATTTCGAAATTCGAACCATCTTATTCTTGTCTTCCTTCTACGAATTCAATTCATATAGAGCATTAATCTAGAGGATGATGAGATATTATATCACGTTGGCTTTCTTGTTTAGACTAGTTGCAATCATCCTTATCTGGATCTCCTTTTAGATCATTAAGTCAATTCAAAATGGAAATACATGTTAATAATAGTGTATATCATTTTGGCCTCTCTTCCAAAGTCTTTATTCTTTAACAAATTATTTTTTATTTTTTGATAACCGTGAATGTCCGGGCCAGCTTGCGCGCACCTCGACTAATTCCACGGGGCAAGTCTTTAACAAATTATTATTATTACATCGTATGTAGGAAAGTTGTTTCTAATTGATGACAAAATTTTCTTCCAGATTTGGAATAGAGTAGAAACTAAACTATGTGTGGCATCACTAAGTGTTTATTACATTTCCACTTCTTGATGCTAGACATTTTCTAGATAAGGAATGCTTGAAAGTAAATCGTCAGTTGCAACACGTTTTTGTTGTTTTAGTGAACAATTCACCTCAGAAGTCCTCTTGCAACTTGTGACCAGAAAATCTATGCACAGAGACTACTTGTAAACCCTTTTTACTGGGATAAATTGTAAAATGAAATCAATGAATGAAAATCTTTATGCTTATGGTCACTTAACGTGTGATACCTATTGTGTTGGTGTGTTGTAATGGCTCTCTCGACATGTTCGTTTCTGTATTGGATGTGAAACATGATTGAAATGCCATTCATCACCTAGTACCATTGTAACCAAGCTGTGGACCCTCTGCTGTCTCGCTTCCAAACTTGCAATTTTCTTTATCCATACTAAATAAAAAATCATAAACCAATTTGAAGCAAGAGGTATTATTATGATAACCATCGTTTCTCATTCTCTATTATTAACCTAAATTTTACAGTGACAATACATGATTAAACTTCTTTTCCTTTTTAATGCTGTTCAAAACTAGAATAAAAATGAGTTAGATACGTACTTAAAAGTGAGGAGAATGGATAACCAGCAGCTGTTGAGTAATTGCAACTAAGACATTTGTCTGGCTGGTGGAATTCGTCATTGAAATAATGAAATTTATTTAAATTGTTGATTACCATTATGCTTTACTTGAAAAGACATTGAGAGATGAATTTTAAATAAGTGACTTTTGGTGCTTACCCAACAGTCAATTTTTGGTGCTGTTTCTATTGAGTTGTTGGGTCACTCAAAATGCTCATGTTTAAATACGTGCGGACCCAAGTGATCACATGACTGTTGCCGGTGTTCTTTTTGCGATTGCTTGATAGTTAACATTGATTTTATTCCTATAGGGAATCATGGGAAAATAACACAGGCAAGATCTTCCACTTAATGAGAGTGAAGGGTTTGTTATATTTTGTCTCATGAGCTCTTGCCTCTATGGTCCTCAAAACTTTCCTATTGTACTTCTGAGAATATTTGTTGAGGAGATAATTCAGGCATTATATTCCACTTAAAAGTAAACAGTTTTTCTGTTCTTATGTGTGAGCTCTTGCTTCTACAGTTCTCAAAAATATCCTTTTGATACTTATCAGAAAATTGGTTCCACATTCGAAATAGTATATGTGATTGATTTTGTTGTATTAGACAACTAGTTATGTCTCTATTGTATGGTTTTCAGGATTCTTTGCTACCATTTGGATTACTGCCATACTGTTCAAGTCTAATGACATTGTTCGGAAGCAGACAGCTCTAAAGGTATGATCTTTGTTTCATGTGATGAACATTTTTGTAGCATTATCCGCGTGAAATCAAGTTTCTTGCCCACCCCCTATTCATAGAAGGAATAAAGATGAAAAAGGAGAACTCCAGAAACTTACAAACAAACGCTTTTCAGGGAGAGAGGAAGATTTCTGTCCTTGTTGGTTTTTCTGTGGTCTTCATGCTTCATGTATTTGGAATCTACTGGTGGTATCGGAAAGATGATCTTTTCTATTCTTTATTCATGGTTCCTCCAAAGGCAGTCCCGCCTTTCTGGCATGCAATATTCATCATCCTGGTAAATGGTATGGATTTCTTTACCTGCTTGTTACTTTATTCATGCAATAATTGTTATGGCCCATACATTATCCATTTGGCATTGTTGTTAGTCATAAATTAAATTTCCACAGCTTCCCCTTATACGGAATCTAGTGCTTTGTTGAACACTCTTAGTCTAATCCACTTAACAAGAGGCCTGTGTAATCTGCTTTTGATCACTTAATATCCGTAGCTTTTCCTCTTTTGTTAATTTTAATAAATTTCCAACAACTTCTGTCTCTTTCCTTTCCTTTTCATATTTTCTTGGAAAATACATAATGTTTAAATCTCTCTCTCTCTCTCTCTCTCTCTCAATAGCATACATGAGCTTGAACGGGTTCCCTTTTATCTTTTAATAATTCAGACATCCTCAAATATATTGACATTTATTGCCATATCGTATTTAGCATATGCAAATGTTAATATTCCTTCCTTCCAAATTTGAAGGTCCCCATCTAATTTGCCACAAAGTTTTGTGTAAGAGTTGGAAAATGTGAGTATTAAACGTAACTTTACCCCCAGAAGTAGCGGCCAAGATTCTTTTGTGCCATATAATGTACCTTTGTATATTTTCTGTAAAGAAGATATATGTTTTAAGTGGGACATTATTTCCGGGGCATCACAAAATGGAGATGCGACCTTCAAAGCTGCCCAAGAGAGTGTTTTTTATACTCCTTTCCTTTTCTTCCCCCTCTGACTGAATCCTGTTTAGGGTATATGAATGTTAACTTTTAGTTTATTTGAGCTGACTTTTGTTACTGTCAGATACAATGGTGCGACAGGTTGCAATGATCTTGAAATTGGTTCTTCTAATCTATTATAAGAATTGCAGGGGCCACAATTTCCGCAGACAGGTAAAGATTTCAACTTAAATTATGTATTCAATGATGCACAATTGAATTGCTTAGAAATTTGACTGTAGTAGATTGGTCATTAAGGGTCAAATGTTAACTCTGGTCGAGTACACACTGCTGCTATACCGTGCACTGTTACCAACTCCTGTCTGGTATAGATTCTTCTTGAACAAAGACTATGGAAGCCTCTTTTCATCGTTGACAACTGGGTTGTATTTAACTTTCAAGCTTACGTCAATTGTAGAGAAGGTAAGTTGTTTCATCATCTTATATTAATGTTCTAATTTGCCCTGTTGAATTTGGAAAACCAATCTTAAAAATGTGTCCTCTCTTGTTTTCATGTCGCTGTACAGGTCCAATCCTTCTTTGCTTCCTTAAAAGCATTATCAAGAAAGGAAATCCATTATGGATCTCATGCCACGTCAGAACAGGTATTTTGTTTCTTTTTGCATTTTAAGTTTCTAGTAGGAGTAACAGTCTATATGGAGACTTGTTGAAAAGCAGGCTGCAAAAAGCTAGTTTGAAAATGTCTACTACATATGGCAGTCAACACATTCAGTAACCATCTTTCATTTGCTTCAATTTTCCATTATGCTTGAGACTACCTTTCTTCTCCATTCAGATGTTCTCAAGTGCCCAATAAACTAAATGGCTATACATGACAACCATGCTTGACTTTATGTTTTAGTTCTTGATGTGGATCTGGTTTGGAGTTGGTTATCTTTAGGTTTAACGTGTTGTAATCAGTTGCATCGTACTTGTGAGTGGGAGTTTCAAGTTTTCAGAAGATATCTCTGAACTGCCTAAGTTGACCTCCCCTCTAATTTATCCTCAATTTATGGTGTGCCCTTTATGTATATAGTCTCATTTCTTATTTTATCCATTTTAATATGGCTTAACATCCTCATTTACGTTCTCTTCATCTTATGGACTCACAGTCCTTTATTAGTTATCATCCACGACTAAGTGCCATAAAGCATTACTAGTCTAATAATCTAAGAAGGGGGACAAAATACAGAGAATATTGAGGGAGAAAATATCAAAAAAAATTTCATATCCAAGTCTAAATATTACAAAGAATAGACCCTCTTTATATAGAGTCTAAGCAAATCTAATTTGAGAAGGAAACAGAAGAAACAAAACCTAATTTAAGTCAAACTAGAAAATTTATAACAATACCTAATTCTAGTTAAACTAAAAACTATAATAAAATTAAAATAAGTTAATCAAAATTAAACTATTTTTATTCCTCCATCATAATCATTCTGCAGAATTTGCCTTTTAACTTCAAAATATCTTCCTATCATCTTTTTAGCACCTCCTATTCTAGGTATCGGTTAGAGTGGAATCTGATCCTTGAATGCAGTGATTATAACATTAAATTCTATGTTGACTGATACGTATCGGACATTCGGACGTCTTGAAAATGCCACGTGGCGTGTGTTCTTTTTAGTTTTTTCCAGATCCCACCTATTTGTGAACATGGAAAATTGTGGCTAGTGCTCTGGAAAATTAGAGAAAAACTAACATGTCAATGTGTGCAATGAAAAAGGCTATTGTTGGCAAGTGAAGTGGAAGAGGCTATCGCCAATGAGTGCAGTGGAAGATAGAGATGGAGAGGGAGACAGTCAAACCCTAAGCATTATTTTCACTGAAACAAAAATGATGCTTGAAAGTTGAAAGCCAAACCCTAAGTAAAAAATTAATGTTTTTTTTTTTCAAAAAATGATAACATTTTTTAAAGTGGGGGTCAATTGGTCAACAATCTTTTAAGTGGGTCAATTGTTTGTTTCTTTTATTTAAAAGTGATTCAACCAGGTGTCAATTTATGTCAAGTTTGATTTATATTTGACTATTTGGTTTTTATGCAATAAATCTTCTTTCTATAAGTTTATTATTAGAAATAGATAATGGTATTAAAATGTTTAATACATGTAGAACTATGTTAATAAATTACACGTTAATATAATCAAACTCCGCTATACATTTTATACACTTATCTGTGTATCCTAATTTTTTTAAAAGGCTGTATTGATGTACCCATATCGTATCGTATCCAAATTACGTATTCGAATCCTTGCATCTTAGGCACTGGTTCATAGCTAGTGCTTGCATGTTGCTGTAGTCTGAATGGATTGATTTATCCACTCAAGTTCTTGTTGTGAACCACCATTTTCTTGTTTACATTTTGAGCTGACCAAGCCTGACTACAACACTAAGTAGGGAACAATATATTATGCCCTGGAGTAGTGTTTCTGGTTAAGGCATACTTAATCACCAGACATATACCTTATCGTTCTTAGCCTTGTGTCGAATTCTCGGTCACATAATATGTTTGAGTTCTATACACTACAAAAATGTGTTGTTTGCTAGCTTTAAGACGTAATAAGACTAAGTTGTTTTCTTAACTAATTCTTTTAAATTATTCAATATAGGTAACTGCAGCAGGAGATCTATGTGCCATATGCCAGGAGAAGATGCATGTTCCAATTTTATTGCGCTGCAAACATATCTTCTGTGAAGACTGTGTTTCAGAATGGTTAGTTTCATTGCAGTATGTGATTGCACATTTGCTAATTTCTCTTGGACAGTCATTGATTTATGGGAATATTCTTTACAATCTGTGCTTGGCTTGGATGGCTACTTGCTTATAATTTACTTTTACTAGTAATGAAATTCATATAATTGAATTACGGTGGTCCCTTGTCTGCCTTCTAAATCAGAATCCCCGTTTGCTGTCATCAAGCATGAATAAGCTTTTGATCTTTTATAGAAGGATGATATGTAAAGGCACATCTTGTTTTTTCAACCTCTCTTTATTTTGATTCCCTTAGTTTACTGTCAGTGGGGCCTATTTTTCTAACTTCTAAATGGAGGGAGTGCTGCGAGTGTTATATGATTTAAGTAATTTAGCTTATCTTTTGCTTCCTCTCCCTCAAATTGGTGGAAGTGAACCCTATGAGGTCATTTTTTCAGCTTATGAGGTGGTGTAAGCTTTAAGTATTTGGATTTTGAGTATGCTCATGGTTCATGATGTCATCTGAAAACGATGAAGATATCGAGGTTTCCAATTAAAATACTAAGATCAAAATAGCTGACGTCTAGAGCTTGTTAACAAATTTGGGTTTGGGTATTGTCTAACTTCTTTGAAATTTCTGGAATTAGTCATAGAAGCCCAGCAAAATTTGTTGTTTATGACATTGAATGATAAAAACCAATCAGGATTGGGAAGACCATTGTTATGCCAATACTTGTCATGCTACGAACTGATTATGTGAATAGTTTAATTCAATGTCATTGCTTTGAATAAGAAAGAAAGATCAAGAACAGAATGTGGTTGATGTAGAAGTCTTCTCTCTTCGTAATAATCACATACTAACTTGTTCTTTTGGTTGCGATATCACTAATTTTAATCAACCAATAAATTCCAGAATTTCTGATTATAAGAGGTCTATACCACACTACCTTTTTCCTTTTGCAGGTTCGAAAGAGAAAGAACTTGCCCTTTATGTAGGGCCCTGGTTAGACCTGCTGATCTTAGATCATATGGAGATGGATCAACGAGTCTTTTTTACCAGTTGTTTTAGAACTTCCGTTTTGTCTCCCGGCAACTTATACTTCACAATGGCATTCTCCCAAACTTGATTAGCAAAAGAAAAAGCAATCACTATCACTAAGGCATTCTACAGTAATTGTTGCTCTATTCTTGGACTTCCTCTCGATGATTCTGCAAGGAAACTATACCAATATCAAATGTTTGTTGGCTATATTTTCTGTATGATGTATTGGAAAAGGTTCAATGCTAGCTCGAAAGATTCTGACGAGACAATCTTTTCTCCACATATAAATATTGTTGATTTTTAATTTTTTTTAATTTTAAGATTAATGATCATTAATTTTCTTGTGGTGGTATTCTTTTAGCAGAGAAAGAATAGAGTCGATCTAAATTTATTGGTAATATCTTCACTCAGTGATCTCGAAATGTGTGCTCGTGCACAGTATTTTTAAACTTATATTGTACATGTATAATAGTTGTGATTTAGATCAATGCTATTCTGCTATGAATCTGAAGAGATGTGAGATATATTCTTTTGTACATCTCACTTCTAGTCCTACTTCGTACTTCCTGGTCTGGTTTTCAGAAACTATGAGGATGCCTGTGTTATAAATGAAAATTGACACAAATAACACTATGAAATCAGACAATTTTTTTGTTTTTTACTTTTTCTTTTTAGATATTCACTTTTAGAACACTATTTTATGAGTGTTACAGGGCACAACGAGGCTGGGTCGCCCTTCCTTGTCACCCCGCCCCACCGGGATTTCAGGGAGTCAGGTCGAGGATTAAAATATCCCATTTCTGGTCCATTTCTCTTAATGGGCATGAAAGAAAGTCTTTGAACTCTCTAGTAAGAGGGAGTCAATAGCTCAAGGACTTGTTAACTCGGGAAAGGAATGTTTCCTCCGTAGAAGAGCTCAGAGCTCTTTCCTCTGAGGGGTTCTTACTCAAGTGGAACCCAAATTCACTCCCGAACAAGATTTGGACTCTTTTAAGTAACTTCTAATGAAAAATAACTCTTTTAAGTAGAGAGGAGGATTCATCTCTGGCCCCATACTCTTAATGTGCCCTGTATTTGAAAAATTAAAGAGTGGTGGAGACCATGTTTCCTATCCTCAACGATTTCCCGACAAGGCAGGGTGGGATGTGCCCGGGGCATTTTGCCACTCCTATTCGCATGCAAATGACTTGCTACCATTAAGTGAAATATTTATCCTATTGTACAACCAATTTTATAGATAAATATTATGGTATTAGCTCTCCTTTTCTTTTCTTGTTCATTTAAATTATAATGCATAAACAAATTTTCGAAAATTCATAGCATTCTTCAATGACATGAGTGACCGTTCAGACTTTCTCGGATGACTCTCGTTCTGATTGATTATTCAACATAGATTGAATTAGACCGAGATCACTTTACCAATTGGGTGGAACCCCATTGAATTATGACCTTGCTACCTATTACTAATGTGTAACAAGTGGAAAAGAAGTGGAAGTGGCAGACGCGTTAGACTATTCTTCCACTACCGAATAAGATAAACTTTATATGACAACTAGCTAGACAAATTTCGTCTACAATAAAGAACATGTTCCAACAACAAGGGTGAACGTTATCTATACGTAAGTACTATTCTACTTGCATAAATAGTGATATATCTTTATCCACTAACGACGTGAACAATTAAAATTGCTCATTTCTCCGTAGGTAATAGAATGAAATGGAGAACAGAACAGCAATGTTTGTCTCATGGAGGTTGGTTCCTTTAGACTTTGAGAATCTCATTATCCTTCCACGTTCATATCGTACCAATAGCAGCAGAGCCCACGTCGTTAAAAATAATGAGTAAATCAACATGATTGCAATAGACGACTATAAAAAAAGTGATTGTTTTTGGTGCTTCTATTCTCTCACAAAATAATTTGTATTGTAAGTGAGTCTGAACAGTAGTGTGGTCACCACCACCACCATTTTTTTTGTTTTTTTGAAAAAAAAAACGATTCTTCTATTGATTCCGAACCCGAACCATAAATATATTAAGCCACTACATTTCATTTGAATCACATCCTCTGAATGTGCATAGGGCACTATTTAATTTGAAGATGATGGGTATATACATTCTAGATGATTTTGTGTATATTGTGTAATATTTGATCAATAGGTCATATTCAATTCCAACTATCGAGTCAATTATATTGTTTTACAATAATTCTGACATAATCATGGTGTCTAGATTCATTCTTAAAGTGAAAGAACTTGAAGTCCATATAGAAGGGACGAGGACAAATATCTTAATTATGTTAGTTAACTTGTTATATCTAACTTAGAACTCAGACGTCCATCGATCTTGGTACTCACTGAGTGACTTAACATTCAATATTTTGTCCCAACCATCACTCTATTAGTGATCTAGATCATTTGAAATGTTATCTCAATTTAAATATCTTAGTGGGACGAATTACTCTCAAAGTGTAAAAGTGACAACCGACACATCCCATTTTTAGATTGACCTCTTAGCTTGCATGATTACAACTGTCAAAATATGTCCCGCTTTGGCTTCATTTTTTCAAAAATGCTTTTTTCAAAACTCATTTTAACCATATTTTCTCATAAAATAATATTGCACGTAAATTTAAAATTTTTTTTTTATTTTTTAACCATACATTCTTCAAAAAAATACTATTTCAAAATTTCTTTCCCTCTAAAATTTCATTTTAATAGAGCCCAAACAGTATCGGGTTTGAGGTGAAAAAAGAATAAAAAGGATTTAGGAAAAAAGCAAGGACTGAGTACAAGCAGACAAGGAAATTTTGTGGCAGAAAAACAGGCACAATGATCAGTAATATTAAATAATGATCCTAAACTTCTGTTTGTTTCACATTTTTTCTTCATTTTTAGAAAAAAGGGTACCGTTGAAGGGCCCTATTTGACCTTTTTTTTTTACTTTCATTTCACACTTTCCTTGAATTGCACGTTCCAACGGTACAATTTCTCATTCACCTTGGAATTATGTCGTCCAAACTGAGGCTAAGGAGTAAAAAATCAACAATAATGCTAGATGTACAATCTCCATGACGTTTAAGTTGAAATCCTCGATTATGTGGAAGAAATTTGTACAGTGATGTGATAGATGCTTTCAAAATTAGTGGCTTTAATGGATCCATTTGAAAGAATGTCAATAAAGATGTAAATGAGAGTGTACATGTAGCATGATTGCAAATCCTCCCTGACAGCCCCTCAATAGGAGCAATAATTTTTTTTTTTTTTTCACATGAGTACCGTGTGGGTTTCTCTCCCATGTGAGTATAGGTCAACGAGAGTGACTTTTTTTTTTTTTTTTGACAAATAAGATTAATTCAAATTCAATTAACTAACACTAACCTGGGGATTTTTTGTGTTACAGGTCTGTGTCAGACCCGCCACCTCACCCACCACGTGTCGTAGAAGTGGTCCACACCACGTCACTCTTCAACCGAGGTGATTCCGCATGGGACGAACTGATTGTATATGCCGAAGTGATTACATGAGGGACGAACTGAACATATGCCCGCGAAGGAACCGAACTCATCTGCGATACACCGCGGATGCAAAGGCCCATACTCCTCCTCTATGACTCTACACATGCCTCGCCTCGCCCCAGCAAAAATTTTCCATACAAAGATCTTTCCAAAATCAAATCCCTAACTGATGGGACGTGGTAGGACCCAAACGGTAAATTCGCCTTTGTCAGAAACAGTCAGTGCCAGCCAACCTATGGAAGGACAGGTCGGCACCTAGGATGGGACAAGCCCTGGGGATTTGATAACACGTGTCTCCTCATTCAACGGCTGTCATCTTCCCATCCTCAGTATAAATATCCCCTCCTAGTGCTAGAAGAAGCATTGGAATCAAGATTTCTCCTACTACATTGTAAACTTGAGTATCATTCCCTCCCTTAAATATTGGCAGCTCTTCCGGGAAAGGCCACGGGTGACTAACGGCGCGCTACGTGTATGGGGAAGAGCAAACTTGAAGACTTATTCTGTTGGCCCCATGTCAGAGCCATTTTTGAGGTCAACAGATTGACGCCGTCTGTGAGAATCTTACTTTAACCAAGGTCTTCCCACCAAAGCTTGTTCCAATATCTGGTTCATATTTTCCCTTGAAAAAGGGATCAGTTCTTGAAAAATGATCAGCTATACATTAAGCTCTGCTGCTAAAAGAGAGGCCTTTCACATCGGACCATGAGTTCCAGTGACGAAGGGGTAAACCCAAGAAGGACAAGGGAGATCTCTGAAGAGATTTCACGAAATGTCACACATTAGCGACCCCATCACCGGTATCGCAGAGGCAACAGAACAGCTCAACTGGCTGTCGAAGTGGCTAGCATGGCCACGAACATGAGAAACATTGCAGCTCAAAAAGCTGCCATATAAGAACTCATCATGCAAGTGCAAAACCAAGGTGGTTTCCAAGTCCCCACAAAATCCTCAACAATCAGCCCATAGACGAGCTGAGGCGGAATCTAGCCGGAGAACCCATTTGAGTCCTCAAGGCGAAGCCCCTATCGAACAAGAAGTGGGAATGGATACTTCCAACTACACGATCGCTCCAACTGGCAACGCCCCTACGGGAGACAACTTCCCTCCAGAATATGAAGAGCAACCCCAAAGGTCTGCTAGTGTTTTTGATCGGATCGGATCGGACGGGCGCCTAGAAATAGGATCCAGCCCACGCACCAAACGGCCCGCCAGAAGGAGTGCGTACAAAGCCAAGTTCAAGCCTCCCAGCCTAGAAATAGGCGAGAGAGGTGAAATATGGTGGAGGGAAACAGAGCTGAAACTGCCCAGCATCCACCTCGCCCAACAACAGATGGGAACGTTTCTCACGAACCATGTAGGTCGTATGAACTTGATGATGATTATGACAATTTTCCTTTCTCCAGGGAACTTCGCACCTTTTCGATGCCTCATAACTTTGTCCCTCCTAAGATCCCCCAAATACGAAGGAAAAGGCGATCTGGAGAAGTATCTCAACAAGTATAAAACGTA